GAAAACATATTTAGGACAATTTAAAGAAGTATTTAATGAATTTAACATGTGGGGCTGTTACCACACATGTTAATTGCACATTGGTTTTATTCAGACAGTGGAAGTCTAGAGCTTTGCCAATCCTGGGAGTGTAAAAAAGGAACGTGCATGCGTCTGTGCAAAAGTAGCCCTGCAGTAGCAGGGACCGGAGGAAATAACTGAGAAAGGGAGAGGACTCCAACCTACACGCAGGGTGAGCAGACGCCAGTGATGTCATGAATGCACCAAAATGAGTCTTCCTCTTGACTAGCGACGACTATAAAATTCAAGCCATTTGGCAAGAAAGTCAAGAAATATGGCCTGGCCAGTTTGGCTCAGCGGTTACAGCGTTAGCCTGCGGTCCAGAGAGACCGGGTTTCGGTTCCCGCTAAGGGCGTGTACCTCAGTTGCAGTTTGTCCCCGGCCCTGTTTGGTGGTGTGGGTGGCAGCCACTCGATGTGTCCCTTTCACGTCGATGTTTCTCTCTCTCTCTCTCTCCCACTCTATCTGAACAAAAAATGGAAAAATGTCCTCGGGTGAGGATAAAAAATAAAAAAAAAGAAATAAAGGAGATATAGTAGGGACAGGAGCAGAAGAGAGAAGGGAAACATACAGAAAGCTAGAAAAGTGCAACTACAGTAAAAGTAACAGAGGGCAAAGCCACAGGAATCTTGGGACCTTAAGGAGCACATTATGTGTGAAAATGTTGTCTCTGAGATATAAGAAAATCTTATTTAGAGTAGCTCTGAATAAGGGAATGTGATCAGATGCCCTCACCCTTTTACAAGGTCATCATTATGCCACTTTGGAGGCACACCTTGGCTTTGTTGAGGCGGGAGCATCTAGAGCAGCGATTTTCAACCTTTTTCATCTCACGGCACACATAAACTAATTACTAAAATTCTGTGGCACACCAAAAATATATCTTTTGCTGTTCTGATTTAAAAAATAGGTATAACTTTGATTCATTCACACTGGACAGCTATTGCATTGGCTGTTGTCATACTGTCATTTGACAATCTAAGGGAAAAGAGGTCAGTGTCCCTGACAAAATAGTCAGGTATTGCATGTTTTAAAAATTCTTGTGGCACATCAGCTGAAAATCTCTGATCGAGAGGAAGGGCAAAACAGGCTCAAATTACTTCACTAATACACAGACATTGTCTTGCAGAAGGCACACAAAAAAGTCCATGTGGCTGAGCAGTCTTAGGAAGGGGCAAGAAGTGAGGTGTGGGGGAAGAGCCCCGGGACTCTGTTAGAGTAGCAGTAAACTAATGCAGTGTGGGAGTGTCCAGATGGTGGTGCATTCAAAAGAAGCCAGACCACTGTTCACTCTTCCAAGGAAAACATCTAGTTCGGGTACATTATTAATCAGTAAAACAAGTGATTTTTGCAAGGCAATGCTGGTAACTGAGCTCTGTACTTTTTGAAAAGTGCCTTTGGTATTTCGAAGCTGGACTTGGCATTAAAAACATAGTCATGCCTGGTAGAAATGCCAGCAAATCCTAAAACTGTAGAATACGTTGGTGTTTGTTTGTTTTATTTATTTATTTATTTTTTTACGGAACTCAGTTCTGAGCAAAATCTATCCCTGGGACCATTTTAGCAAGATGAGGTAACCAGGTTATTTTAGCCAGCCAGCATCTCCTTTGCTATAGCAAGTGCCTGTAAATTAGGTGTGTTAGAGCTTAGGAAGAATAAGCACAGACTCACTAGTCTCATTCTAATGCTGCAGGCTCCCCCACATTAAATTTTAATGATTGGAAAATGTCATTTCCTGAAATATTTCAAGTGTCACATGAATTCCTACTCATTTATGCATTTATAGACAATGATTCTTTTCCCACTGATTTTATCAGCTTCTGGCATCATTAAAGATTATTCTGGAAGCATAGCAAAACAAAATTATTATTACACTATTGTAGAGCTTGCCTTCAAAGGAGGAGTAGGTTATTGTCTCCCCTCCCATTTTATTTCCTATTCAAAAACACCCCAAATACACACACACGCACACACACACCAGGATGTTTTCAGCTACTTTCCAATTTTTTAGCAAGTCCTATAAATGACCTAAATAGAAATAAAAGTTATTATGCCAGATAACAAGAAATCTCAAGGACTGCTTAAATCAGAACTGTTCATTGATACCAACAAGGATGCAGGTTACTTCCATGTTTCTGTTGAACCATCCTTTTATGCTCTCTTCAGCTAAAAACTCTTATGGTCCAAAGATGGCAGTCACAAAATACAACATGTGAGAATGAGTTACCTGGTATTATTACTCAGCAAAATCTAGTGTATGTCTAAAGGCTAAATGGATAATATAAATATCCTTATAATCAATTGGTGATTTAGAACATTTAATCAAGAGTAATTTGTGTTGAAGCACCAAAATCATGACTGATTGGTTAGGTTCTTCAGAGCTCAGATATTCCTACTTTTGGTCATGTTCTTGCAGCAATACCTTAGATTCTTTCTTTATTCATGTTCTATTTCTTATGTATAAGACATTCTACCCCAACCGGTGTGGCTCAGTGGTTGAGCATTGACCCATGCACCAAGAGGTCGCTGGTTCAATTCCCGGTCAGGGCACATGCCCAGGTTGTGGGCCAAATCCTCAGTGGGGGGCATGCAGGAGGTGGCCAATCGATGTTCTCTCTCATCAATGTTTCTATCTCTCTCTCCCTCTCCTTTCCTTTTTCTCTCTCAAATCAATAAAGAAAAAAAAAAGACATTCTACTCTTTTCACTTTTATTAGTCATTCACTGGTGAGGAACACCCCCTCCTCCCTTCCCAACACTATTGTCTGTGTCCATTGGTTATGCATATATGCATGTAAGTTCTTTGGTTTATCTCCTCCCCCACCCCGACCATTCCCTTTGAGGCTGTCAGTCTGTTCCCTACTTCCATGTATATCTCTGGGTCTGTTTTGATTGTCAGCTTATTTCGTTCATTATATTCCATAAATGAGTGAGATCTTGTGATACTTGTCTTTTTATGAGTGGCTTATCTTGCTTAGCATAACACTCTCTGGGTCCCTCCATGTTGTCTCAAAGGGTAAGAGCTCTTTCTTTCTTACAGCTGCATAGTATTCCATTGTGTAAATGTACCACAACTTTTTTATCCACTTCATCTACTGATGGACACTTGGGCTGTTTCCAGATCATATCTATTGTAAATAGCGCTGCTATGAACAAAGGGGTGCATATATTCGTTCTGATTGGTGTTTCAGGCTTCTTAGGACATTCTGAGAATTGGGATCACTGGATCAAATGGCAGTTCCCTTTTTAATTTTTTGAGGAAGCACCATATTGCTTTCCGTAGTGGCTGCGGCAGTCTGCATTCCCACCAGCAGTGTTCTAGAGTCCCCTTTTCTCCACATATTCGTCAGCACTTGTTTGACGATTTGTTAATAGCAGCCATTATTTTTAATTCATTAGATATTGGGTGGCAATTACATGAAAGAAAGTGACAAGGCTGAAATACTACATTGGAGAGTTAGAGAAAGCTCTCTGAGGAGGTAACATCTTGGCCAAGACAAGGGGGAGAATGGAGAGATTGAAGAAGGAATATGTTTGATTATAATGGGTCATAGTAAAGAGTTCTAATTTTATAATAAACATGTCTGATTATAATGGGTCATAGTAAAGAGTTCTGATTTTATGATAAGAATAGGAAGGAGGATTGATGGGCTTGGGGATGGTGTGTGATGAGCTGCTTTCCTTTGTCTATTGTGTTTTTGTACTTGGAATGCAGCGAGAGTCTTAGCTGAATTTAATTCCTTCTGTGCTATAACAAATTAATATGGGGTATGCAAACCTGTGTTCTCCTTTTGCGATTTTCCCCACCCATCTCTTAAGGTAGCTTTGCTGGCTTGGCTTCCAGGCTCTTAAGCACAGCTCTTAGCCCTCCTAGTCCTCTAAGGAGCTCCAATCTCCAGCTTTAGACCTAGTGTTCCCACATGAGTGGCTTCAGGCGACAGGGTCTGTGGCCTTATCTAGTCTGTCACATTTGGTTTTACTCCACTGACTGTAGAGAGAATATCTCCTGGGGAAAATCCTACCAGAAAAACTCTTCTTCCAGGATCAGGTCACCTTAATCTTGTCCCTCTTCCAGCCCACCATCTCCACCCAGGAGAGCTCCCTCCTGAGGACCTGTCACAGGGTCTGTGGCCTGCTGCACACTACACTGGTCCTACTGGCTTCATTTCTCAGGGTCATTCTCAACGTATGAATGGAGAAATAGAATCAAGGGAAGGACTTGCCTAAAGTGGTTTCCCTTGCCTTTTAGTCTTATCTTCTTTTTCCTAGACCAATGCTATTCTAAATGTGGCCTGCTGGCCAGCTGTAGAGCCAGTCCATTGTCAATCTCAAAGTTTATGTATGTGCTGGTAAGTATTTCTGCCACAGTTTGCATAGAAAAGACTGAGGGCTCTCCCAACCCCTGCATTTTACAAATGAGAACTCAGAAGCCCACCCTTCCAAGCTAGTATGGGAACCAAAAGTGGAACCCAAGTCAACTAGGATATAATAGTAGTCGAATACCATTTACAGCTCCAGGTCCACCCATGAGAATTAACTAACTTGCCATGTTTATTGACTGAACACTGGCGTTACTGCCATTCCGGCTAGCCTGAGGGTCTGACTGCTTTCCCTACCGGTCGTGCTGTAGCTTTCACTCTTCGCCACCACTTGAGGGCCCACAGATACTTCGCCAGGTTCTCCCTTTCCAAGTTCCCCACTCTTCACGTCCCCAGCCGCCTAAGTACCACAGTGTCCGGCAGAGGGCGCTGCGACCCACCCCGTTCCCGCGGCCCCTCCCTTGGCCAACCGTCGATTGGGCCGGCGCGTGACGTCACGCCGTTTTAGCCAAACAAATGGGATTCGGGGCGAGCGTTGGGCTTCGCCGCGCCGCGCTGGGCGCTCGGTCCGCCTCAGCGGTGGGGAGCCAGCCAGGCCGCCTGCTGCCGCCGCCGCCGCATCGGGGTGTGCAGCCCCGGGCCAGGCCCAGGCCGGGGCAGCAGCGCAGGTGGGTCGGGGCCGGGTGGCGTGGCGCTGGGGCAGCGCGGTCGGGGTTCGGCTACGGCCACCGTGGCCGTTCCCCGCCCCCTCCTGCCGCTCGCCTGCGCTCCCGGGACGCGGGGCGGGTGGGGGCGGGGGCGCCGCCCGCGGGTGCGGGGCGCGCGGCGCTGCGGGCGCGTCTGGGACAGGGAGCCGGCGGCCCGCACCTCCTCCCGGGCCGGCCTCCGCCCGCGCGCGGGCCAGGCGCTGAGCGCCCCCGTGGGCCACGGAGGGGCGGGCGGACCGGCGGGCGGGTGCGGGGTTCCCGGTCCGGGCTGAAGCCTGGAAGATTACGGATAGGCCGTGAGGAGGCAGCGGACCGGCTCCCCCACCTCCGAGACCAGCGGCGGGTAGGAAGTCGGGCCCTTGGTGGGGGTCGCCTCGCCCCGTCGCTCCCGCTTGGGCTCGGCCACTCTGCCCTTCCTGTCCCCGCGCAGGTGAGCTGGCGCCTGTCCTAACCTTTCTGGAGACTGAGCTGGGCGGAGGCTTGGAAGCTGCTTTCGCCTCCGAGCTGGCGCAAGTCGACTGCGGGTCCGCCCCAGTGGGCGATGAAGTCATAGTGCTGTGGGTCCGCGTGTCTGTGACGTCAGGGGTTCCCAGGAGATGGACTGTGATGTCACTGCAGGCCCTGGCCAGGACCTTGGCGCGGAAGGGCCGGTGGTTCCGGAGGGGAGAAAAAGGAAGTCAAGTCCCCTGTGACTGGGAATCGCAGCAGATTTGAATCAAAAGTTGCTTGAGACCAGCATTTCCCAATTTCAGTGTAATAGTTGTCAAGTTCTTTAACTTCATTTCAAACAGGCATGTTAGTACAATTCAATGTAAGACACATTTCATTTAGAAACAGCTACCTCAGGAGGGCTTGTTCGGGTTGGGTGTTTAATGTAAATACCTTTCAGGAATCTTAACTCAGAGTTGGATGGTTTGTGATCGGAATTGGGGGGAAAAATAGAACCAATTTGAGTGCTGGTAATTCAGTTGCCTTGCACTTTTTAAAAATAATTTTTTTTACACGTTTTTATGGATTTTTTTTTTCCAGAGAGGAAGGGAGAGAGAGATAAACATCAGTGTTTCTCACATTGATTGGCTGCCTCCTGTACTCCCCTCACTGGGGTTCCAGCTCGCAACCCAGGCATGTGCCCTAACCGGAATCCAACCAGGACCTCTTAGTCCATGGGAAGAGCCCAGTGCTCAGTGCACTGAGCCACACCGCCGGACGTCTTATTCTTTTTTTCTAGACAATTTGGAGATCATCTGTCTGCTAATTCACATTTTTGTTAAGAGAATGGCCTGGAAGAGGGAGAACAGATCTTAAATGAACTTCTTCTATTGTAAGGGGGAGGGTGTTTGCATTAATCCAGTATTCTTCTTAAATAATAATTACTTGAAGATTTAATTCATCCAGATTGTCCCTGCCCCATTATACCATGGATAATTGAGGGTTTCTTCTGGTTACAGCTCAGCAACAAGCTTTTTTTCTTGCTTTCTTAGTAAGCTGGGCCATAACAATATAATAATATCCCAGGACTGCTTGTCTGGACATGTAAGTAAAATTTTGTCTGTGGTGCTTTCAAATATGAAACTACAGAATTTTTAAAAATTTTGTTGGTTTTCTTCCATAGCTTTAAAAGATCAGACCAGAAGAGAAGCTAGTCACTTGCTATTATTGACTTTCTCCAGATACAGCTTATCAGTACTTTCATCATGTCTTCCTCCCTGTAGAATCATTTAATAGAATGTAGTTTGAAAAGTAGATGGCTTAAAATGGAAGCATAATTACAATTTCGTGTTTTCAGCAGGAAGATTGGATAGGAGTCCTCAATCCTTCACTGACCTTGACTTACAAGGTAGGTTTTTTTTGTTGTTGTGCTTAATACTTCCTCCTCCCCAGGCTCTTTATAGATTATTGATAATGTATTGTCTCTCTGGATTTTGTATCAACATGGAGATGAAAGTTATGTTATGCCTGTTAATGCAGGAAATGAAAGCAAAAATTTGTCTTTATTAATTATTATTAGATATGACTGGAAGTTCACAAAACAAAGCTTTCCTGTACATTTCATTTTGATCCTCACCATATCTTGGAAATTCAATAGCATTGTGTGTACTTCTGAGAGTTGTTAATTTTTTTTTTTTTAATAAATTGGGAATTGTATGATGACAATGTAGAGTGAAGGCTCTAAAGACAATATTTATTTGGATCCTCAAGACTGATAGACTCTGCTGATATTGAGGGTGTTAATCAACCTACTCTTCATGATGAAAGGATCATGGCAAGATATTATGTAATGAAATTGAAGGAGGTACAAAAAGAACTCTTGCATGTATCTTTTCCTGGTGGCCCTCTGGGGCAGGCTGCATGGCTCTGTGTAAATTAAGTGTACTATTGTAAATGGGAAGGGATGAAAGTCGAACTAAATGTGAGTTGAAAGATAAATAAATGATGATAATAAAATAGCTCCTCCTTGGCAATGCATTTCAAGTAGAGGGGAAAATACATTGCCAGGGAGAAGAAACTTTAAAAAAAATACATGTTTTTATTGATTTTTTTTAGAGAGAGGGAAGGGAGAGAGAAACGTCAATCAGGTGACTCCTGCACACCCCCTACTGGGGATTAAGCTTGAAACTCAGGCATGTGCTGTGATTGGGAATCGAATCAGTGACCTCTCCATGCACAGGTTGATACTCAACCACTGAGCCATACCAGCCAGGCTATTTTTCCTTATGGAAAATGAGTTAATAGGTAGAGAATAAGTGTCTTTGTGTATTCTGATGTGACTGAGGAACAATGACAGTTATAAAAAAAAGCCAGGTTATGCATATATTTGCATAACTATTTAACAAGCCATAACTCTTCTGAAACATTTTTACAGTTTGTTTCTACTTTTGGCAGGATGTTTTCCACCCATGGCTTGCTGTTTTGGGTCTAGGAAGCCGCTTTTACTTCTTATAAATGGAAATTTATTTGAGATTGGTTTTTGTTTTTATGGGGGGGGGGTTACATGCCCCTAGTGGAAACCAAACCCAGGACTCTCTGGTCCACCGGCCAACGCTTCAACCGCTGAGCCGAACCGGCCAGGGCGAGATTGGGTTTATTATTATTTTAAAATATTTTGTCATTATCCAGTTACAGCATTTGAAGGGACTAAATCAACCAGTCGTTAATGATAAGCGTTTTTCTCACAGATAAAAACAAATATGAAGGACAAAAGTGCTAAACTTTAGAAATTCTTTGTTTATTAGATCAATTGTTCTATTAACATATGCAGAACTGAAATTCTCATACAAACTTTGTACTTTATTTTCTAAACTTAAAGTTTATGCTGAGCCAGTTCAATATGGTCTTGATATTCTAGTAAACACATATTAACAACAACAATTAACTTGTTTTAATATTTGTTGGGGAGACAACATACTAATCGTTAGAGACATCATTTGGTGTTATCTTCCAAAATTTGCAGCTGTTGAGAACCAGATACTTGAGGCAAGCTACTATGGTATAATGAATGCCTTCCTTGTTAGGTCATGTGTGACAAAGGCAAAATTCAGCAAGTGCATAATCTGCAGTCCTTTGGAAACAACAACAAAAAAGAGCAGATTAACTCCAAATGCATTTAGGTCATTTGGAAATTGAATTCCTGTCAATCCTTATCTTTGCATAATTTATCTTCTCTCTTTTAGTTCATGCTTATGGTATTCTGAAGCTGATGAACTTACTGTGTTATCTGGGAAGTATTAATGATTAAAATGTAGGTGTTTCTTAGTGATAGTTGAAAGAGTTTATCAACCTTTCATTTTCAACTCCATCTTCTATTTAGCTCCACAGAAAAGGCTCCAGATCTTTTCTTTGTAAATATTTACCTTCAGAATCCTAGCATACACATTTATTATCCTCAGTACAGTGTAGGTATAAATGTGAAACTAAGCTATATATGTGTATTATATTATCAGGCATGGGGTTTAATTCATCCAACAAACATTTTTTTAGTACTTCTATGCCAGGCACTTAGCCAGGCACTCAGATGAATTGTCCTTGCTGCAAGGACATTTTGTTTTAACATTCATTTAACATGGAGGGCCATTGGTCTTAGGGGCCAGAATTGGACCAAGAGGATAAATCATTTTTATTATGCCAGATTGGCCAAAGGTGTCATCTAAAGGTTGGTTTAAGGAGGTATTAAAAACTCAGGTATAAGAATGGGGAACAATTTATCAAAGGGTCTAGAATCCATGGATTTGGATGATCCTAGAATAAATGGAGTTTGAGCTCTTTCTTTGAGGCAAGAACAAGACCTAGTTTATGTATATGCAGTCTAAAATGGGAGGTAGAGAGAAGAGGGACAGTCTAGACATCCCACTTTCAGAGGTATGTATTTACCTTCTTTGTCAGTCCTTTTCTTTAATCGACAAGCTTCCAAAGTATGTGAGCCTATCACAACCTTTATTTTCACTATTTTCTTTCTTTCCTTAACATTTTATAATGAAAACTTTCAATCACAGAAAAGTTGCAAGAATTGTTTGTTCATGGAACACCTAAGTACAACCTAGAGCCCTGGCCAGTTTGGCTCAGCGGTTGGAGTGTCAGCCCCCGGACCAGAGAGTCCTGGGTTTGGTTCCCACTGAGGGCATGTACCTCGGTTGTAGTTTGTTCCTGGCCCTGGTTGGGGTTGTGTGGGTGGCAACTAGTCTATGTGTCTCTCTCACATTGATGTTTCTCTTTCTCTCTTCCCACCTCTCTCAAGGTAGGTGCAAAAATGTCCTCGGGTGAGGATAAATAAACAAATAAATAAATAAATACAACGTAGATTCTTCAATTCATATTTTATAGTATTTGCTTATCTATTTATCCATCCTGTCTTCTCTCTCTTTAATTCATCTCATATTTTTGTTGTATTTCAAAGTAAGTATATTTTACTCCTAAACACTGCAGTAGGACTGTCATATTTTTTACTGTACAGTAAAAGTACAGATCTTATGTGTACTATTTCCTTAGTTGGGATAAGTTCATACATCTGTGTAATCCATAACCTTGTCATGATATAGAACCAGTACCATTACTACGGAAAGTTTCTTCATACATGTCCAAATCAGTTTAATTAACTTTAATCTCTGGCAATCTTATTTCCACCAGTATCTTCTGAAACTACCTGTTCAAAGGGCCTGCTTTATTAGCAGCACATTTGAATGGCATTATATAGATGATCAAAATATAAAGAAATCAAGACCAGGCCCTGCTCTTGTTAAGCTTATAATTTAGTTTGGGTTTTAGTTAGGTGTCCAAAGAGAGAAATGTTACATGGATTCAGAGGAGGCAACTAGTATTGCCAGAGAAAGCTTCCTAGGTGGGGGTATTGAATTAGGCCTTTACTGGGCCTTTTTAAAATAGACTCCAAATTGAAGTTATGGTATAAAGAAACAGTTGCAGACAAGGGTGGTTGGGATCTAATTTTGGAAGGAATTTGAGCATTCTTTTGTACCCAATGACAATTAAAAAATTTTTTTTAAATTTATTGATTTTAGAGAAAGAGAGAGAATAAGAAAGAAAGAGAAACATCACTTGCTGTTCCACTTTTTTATGCATTCATTGATTCTTGTGTGTACCCTGACTGGGGATCAAACCTTGGTGTATCGGGACGATGCTCTAACCAACTGAACTGTGTGACCAGGGCCCCAGTGACAATATTTGAGGAAAGGAGTAATGCGAAAAATGGATTCTTTAGTTAAATTCTTATCCTCTTTGCCATCTTTGGGATTTTGTTGTATAGAAGATCTCTTCATCTTTTGAGTTCTCTCTTCTCAGTTCTTTGTCTGTCTCTGCTTTCTGAGCCTTGCTGGTAATTCTCTTCCACATCCAAACTATCTAAATCTCTGTTCTTGACTTTGTGTGGTACTCCTTGTAATCTGGCCTTACCTTTTAGGGCCTATTCATTATAATTCTTTCCAGGTCATGCCTACATCTGTATCCATAAGCTGTTAATTCTTGTTTGATTTCTAACTGCTAATAAAATGCTTCTTTTTTTATATGCCTGTTTATTTTGTACTTAACTTACTGTTCAAGACTCTGTAGCAAGAGCATTTGCTCTAAGAAGTTGTAGCAAGTAGGATTTATTGGGAAAGGAAGATATGTAAACTTTGAGTGAACTAAATAGATTAGACAGAGTTTCTTGGAACAAACCCCAGAAAGACTCTGCAGAACTTACCCATTGCCACCATGGACCATGTTGTTGAATCAGAATGCTGCTACCACCATACTTGGTAGAAGTTTTACCTCCTTAGGCAGAACCATCAGTATATATTACTTTCTGCCTTCCATATCCTTCCCCCCTCCAAATAAATTTATTACATATGATTGGCAGATCATTATGCCTATCTTATGCATGTATGCCTGCTTGGCCACATTTATGTCATAGGTAAAACCTCAACCTCAAGGGCATCTGGAAAATGTAGTTTTTAGTTGTCCATAGTCTGTAAAACAGGAAGTCCTTGTGAGAATACATTGATGTGACTACTGAGTGAATCTTCAGTACACTCTGTGAAAAACTAATTTTCTCCAGATCCCCTCAATGTTGACAAAGTTAAATCTTTTCTCATTTTGCTGTTTCTATGCAAAGACATGGGTATTGTTCTCGTTTTTTGAGATAGAAACTATTGAAATCAACTGTACCATTTAGATTTTTTATATTGTGATTATAACAAAACCCAACTCAAGTTTACTGGCTCATAATACTGAAAATTCCAAAGGTGAAGCTTGATCCACTTGTACTTACATAATCAGAACCTCATCTTCCTCCTCTTTCCTTTTTAAAAAATATGTTTTTATTGATTTTAGCAAGAGAGAGAGAGAGAG